GCCAGTAAATATGATAGCACCTACTTCTCTAACACCTTCAAACACTGTTCAACTTTGGCTTTGCTACCGACATGCCAATGTGTTGTTGTAATAATGAACTGAGATTTCCTTAATCTATGTAGAATTTTATTTATCGATAATGTAGTAACTGGATGCAATACTGTAGTAAAAATGCTGAGAATTTCATTCTGTATCACATGTACTGTTTTGGAATAAAGCAAATTATTGTTATATTATATTCACATAGAAAAATCGGGGCTGTGCATACAAAAGAGAATTACTCAACCACTTATACAATCATGGTAACAACTTTGTTGATTTTTGATGACTTAATTTTGTTTGTTTGTCTGTTACTTTAATTGCTAATAATCTTTGTATTCATTTAGAACTCTTACGTAATTTTGTATTCTCTACTTTGTTTCTATGTGTATCCTCAGTACAACTAAATCATCAAATTATTTATATTATTATGCAACTCCTTTTTAACAACTGCTTGTGACAGTTCATCACCTTTGTTACTACCCTGGTTTCATTAACACCCAATTTTCTGACCGTTTTTGTATTACGTAACTCCACCAAAAGCTCATCAATTTTCACCTATTTAGTTAAAATAACCACAACCAAATGTATTTTTGTTCGACGCACATACATACAAAATAACCCATACATATATTTGCGATTGTACAGCTACGAAAATGAATTCGCCGCCGAAAAGATACTCTTCACTGAACTACACGTGTTTTGTTTTCATTAATGCCTGGATGGGAATTATTTATGAATTCAGAGTTCACCGTGATGGCAAGCCACCTAGCAAACATAAGATCAAAGATAATTAACCTTGAACATCGATTTTCCTGCAGTCTGTCTGGAATCAACATAGAACTTGGCACTGAAGTGCAGCAGTTCGAGTTGCCACGTTCCAAATAGCACACAAAAGTAGACAAGAAAATGAGTGAGGGGAATCAGTAGAGTTTTGACAAGTATAAGAGTGAAACACAATGAGTAATGGTAGAAAGGAATATGAAAGATTACAGGGACTCAATACATCTGCGTAAGCCATTGACAACGATTTTCAGCCATGTCACCTATTGTCTCCACCCATTGATTCTTAGAGTCCCGAGGGCGGGCCCCAACCCGGAAGTCTGCATCTCCCTACCTGACTCAGTTTAACTGTCAAGGATTTCATGGATTGATGAGGCCATGTTTTTGTTTGACCACCACTTACTCTTTTCCAACCCGCACCTATATAAGCTAGTAATGCCCGTCAGTCGGGGGAGGCGATGGTTAGGCATGCGCAGCACGTGACCTAACCATCTCAATCTATGTAACTTCATAGCTTCTTTGAGTGATTTTCCCTCTTTGCCCAACACTCTACGCCTAACGTCAACATTACTTACTTTATTATACCACCTAACGTGGGAAAGAGATCGTAAACATCTGTGGTCAAAATCAGTCAACCTTTTCATGTCTTCAACTCGTACTGGCCATGTTTCAGAGCCATAGAGAAGGACGGAGCGAACTGGTTGATAGCCAAATGTCACGCCTACGCCAGAGATGACGTAAGTTAGCGGAAGCAGCTCGAGCTTATTGGATCCGAGCTGAGATTTCGTCGCCAATCAGTCCGTTGGTGACTTGAGATTGTACAGCTAAGAAAATGAATTCGCATCTAAACTGAGACTCTTCGCTGAACTACATGTTTTGTTTTCATTAATGCCTGGATGGGGAGTTCACCGTGATGGCAAGCCACCTAGCAAACATTAGATCAAGGATTATTAACCTTTAACATCGATTTTCCTCCAGTGAACTGAATGGAGTACCGAGCCCCTCAGGAAAAAGGTATTGTTAATCACAGACAAGCAAATTTACCTTTCTTCTATTTGCAGATGATTTCAACACCTAATTAAGCACATCAAAAATCTGCCGATACTTTTTCCTATAGATGATGAAGCATACTCATTTTTTCATGGACAAAAAATTATCCAGTGATGAGACGGTTCTTGTCGACTTCGTCTCCAATCTGTAAAATGGTATTGATATAATGTTAAAAGGCAATCAGTCTCACACCAATAGTTGCTCAGTCAATACACAGACGATAAAACTTAGAGTCATTTTTAAAGGGTTAATATTGAGATAGGTGAAATAATGAAAGCAAATGACATTAAGATACACGAAATGGATCAAGTGCTGTCAAACAGTTCTAAATTACAATGATAATAAACAATAATAATGACAGAATAAAAAGTGGAAATAAAGGTGAGAAAATATCAGAAAAAAAGCGATTTGCAAGACGTTTTGAATGCATGTTTTAACTTTCTGCTTAGGCTATACCACTGTCCCAACTATATAAAAGTGGTGAAAAAATAGACTTTATAGTGGTTGGATTGAGCTTTGTAGACATCTTGAAAAGATTAACTACAGGGAGCTAAATGACTGACTGCCTGGTTTCAACATAGAACTTTGCACCGATGTGCAGCAGTTCAAGTCGCCACACTTCACTTAGCACACAAAGCAACAGACGAAAGTAAAAAGCAATGCAAAACAGAGATATTAGGCAAGAAGAATAGTAATATCGAAGGACCGTATAGTTTTATTGGATATTATAAGTCACAAGGAGTGGATGCATCTGTGCCATCCATTTAGAATGATTTTGAGTCTCAAGCTTTCATTGGTTTTTACCGTCCCCAGGATCCCAACCAGCCAAATAATCTACACCTCCCTACGTGAACTAACTGTTGTGGATTCAATTGACTGATGAAGTCCTGTATTGGTTTGACCACCACTAGCTCCTTTCCCAACCTGATCCAATCTCAGCTAACATCGTTGGTCGAGGAAGGCGATAGCTGGTAATGCATGCCTAGCACATGTCCTAACCATGTCAACCGGTGTAACTTCATAGAGAGCTAAATGATCCCAACAGTGTCCGTCAGGATGTTCAATGTCGCCATTTTTGTTTAATTTCATCACAGATGCACCAATGAGATTCGTCCCAGATAACTTTAGCGACCTACGGATAGACTAGTTAAAAGGTAACACTCATGTTGACTCAGAGTATGTGGATGAGATTGTCCTACTGTAACAATAGAAGACAAGGGCCAGGCAATAGTTAGTTTATTAAGGAAATCAACACATATTTACAGCTTCTCATGTACATTATTACAGATTATTGTTAGCAGAAAAACACCGTCTTCTGATTGGTTGTTTCTAACTTAAAGTTAATCTTTCATCTCTTGTGGCTGTTTCTTGAATGTCAAATCATCTGTATGCTAAGTGTATCCGCCTACACAAAGTCTGCTCTGGTTGGTTGGTGAAACAGTCTTTGTTCTTATTTCTCTCACGACCAATATTGGGGACGTAAACATTGACGTAAATTACTGTCTACCAATTTGGCTAGCAACCAGCTCTCACCACACTACTAGGTGAAGCACCTACCTGGCTAGCTCCTGGCAAGTGTAAGATGGTGCTACTATACTGGACTGCACCGACTCCTAGCTTACAGAGAGGGAGTAAAGTGGTAGAGCTTGTTGACCACTTCACCTATCTGGGGAGTTGCATCAGGCAACGTTAGTGGGATGATCGCTGATGAAATCTCAGTACAGATACAGATGGCTCGTTGGAAATGGAAGACATGAAAAGGCCCGCTAGCTGCTTTTGATCATAGGTGTCAGTGTTCTATCTCCCATGTTATGTTGTATAATACGGTGAGTGATATTAAGGTTAGGCGTCCAATGTTGTGTAAAGAGAAAAAGTTGATCGACGAGGTTGTTGAGCTACATCGACTGAGATGGTTAGGACATGTGTTACGTATGCTTAGTCATCGCCTTCCTCGACCGATAGGCAATGTTAGCCGATATAGGGTCAGGCTGGAAAAGGGCTAGCGGCGGTCAAACCAAAACATGGCACCAGTCAATGAAATCTACAACAGTTAGTCTAGGCCACGTAAGAAGGTGTAGACTTTCTGGTTGGGGTCCTCGGGATGGTAAACGCTAATGGCTGGAGACAATCGGTGATATGACTCAAAATCGTTCTCAATGGCTGGCGCAGATGCATCCACTCCTTGTGACTTATAATACCCAATAAAACTATATTGTTCTTCGTTGTTACTATTCCTTTTGTCTCATATCCCTGTCTACTGTCTCTATTTTGCATTTCTTCTCTTGCTTTGTGTGCTACATGGAGTGTGGCGACTTGAACTGCTGCACATCGGTACAAAGTCCTATGTTGAAAACAGACAGACAGATAGTCAGGAGAAAAATCTAAAGTTTAAAATCAACGATAGTAAGAAATGGGATGTTTCATTAGCTTATACTGTCAGTAATGGCTACAAAGTAAGAAGAGGTCCAACCAATACGTTATAATATTGGTAATGGGGAAAGATGACTGGAAGGTCTGTACTTGATACTCTCTGGCTTCTCAAAATACCACAGAAATCGGTCTTCACGTGTATATAAGGCAAAAGACGAGTAAGTCGTGCGTGACTGCGAAATTTCGCTTGAGGTTGCTAGAAACAGCTTAAGTGCACTAAATTTCATAGAATAGTGTCTGAACTCGGAGACCAATACAAATGGCATCGGGAAGTAATAAGACCTGCAACAACTCTTTTTCCCTCCCCCCGCCACCTCTCTGAAGAAAAATACGTGGTAATGTAGCTGGAAAGACTGTCACCTTAAAGAGACATCCTAGCGTCGCCACACCTACCAAGTAAGCAGTAAGACTTCGTCCAGAAATCCCAATATAAGAAAATTCTCTTTTTATGTCTGTCATTATTTGATCAACCTGCAATGCACGCTGTGACCTCAATGGGATATCGTTCCAACCAGCACATAACGTCGGGTCATTGACGCATACAAGTCTCACTAGAGCAACCTTCAACCAAAGCACGTAAGCTGTTGCCTAACCTAAGGTTCAACAAACATCTTTATTTTTTACAATGACGAACCACCTTTCAGAGGCACGAAACAGCATACTAACTAAGGAAAGACTACACTATTATGATATACTACGACTCCTGGAACCTTGCCTGACGAAGAAATTTCGCAAAATTTTGAACGCTTAAACATTCTCATTTTTTTGTTTTGAGTGGAAAGCCCGCTCGGATAACCTACGATACCCAGTGGTACTAGTGATATCAAAAACGTACGGAATAAAGTGTAAAGAGTGAACGTTTTCTTAAAAGTAATTTTATACCAGTAAACCAGTACAATGAGATTCTGTATAGAAAAATAATTTACAATCAAATTTAAAGCAAATATCACAGATAGATAGAGATATTCACTGAACAGTATAAAAGAATAAACAAATAACTTGCTCGTAATATAATATGTGCGAGGTTCATCAAGCTATACAAATTTCTGATAGTTACAGTTCATTCCATTCACTAGAAAACTAGAATCTGTGGGACTATGTACATGTGGAGGGCACTGAGATTTGTCATCACGTTTATTTTTACGATGACGTTTACGGCGTCGCCTTTTTGCCTGCTTAGACGGCTCACCACCAGTGGACTGTAAGTCTTTTAATTTTTCTACACTATCATTGATTAATTCATGTTTAGTTTCAGTGGGATCATCATCGTCCCCCGCTAGCTGTGATGCTACATCAGGTTCGTAACCTTCTGATATTAAATACTTTAGACGATCACAATAACGAGATCTTGCTTCTATCTCCCAAATCCGATTGGATCGTTCTAATCTGCTTGCTGTAGCATATGTTCGTAGGTTGTAGACAGCGGAGACAGGATTCCCGCTAGGAAAACGTACACGTCTTGAACTGTCGAGAGTTTTATCAACAGAATAGGAATCTGACGTCCCACTCTTACCAGGCACCTCTTTTTTCACCACATTATTTACACTATATTTAAATGACCACTTTCTATTTACTTCACTCAGTCGTTTGTTCCCAAGTTTCGACGGCAATGTGAAACAAGCTGAAGTAGCATCTGCTGGTGGTAATTTCTTATGAGAATTTTTAGTCGAGTGTAATACATACAACTTAGGTGCATAACTGATCTTCACTGAGAACGTTGGTTCGGGACAGTCGCTTTCATCTGAGGAGCTGGATATCTCAACAGAGCGAAAGAAGTCGGAGTGACCTTGGGGAATTATTGATCGAATATTAAGATGAAGACCTAGCCCATCTTTTTCAGGAATACTAAGATCATCACTACAATAGAGTAAGTCGAATAGCTGACGACCATGACATGGACAAACCCAATAACGTTTTCTTACACACAGTTTCGTACTGACCAGAGTTATATGATGATGATGATCAGATTTTGTGTCTAGGTGAAGCAGAGAAGTCAAATTTGTTGTTTCGCATTCAATTTCTGTCGGACAGTTGCGATTTAAATTGAAGCCACGTAACACTGCTTGGATGGCTCGTGTAAGGTTGTGAAATGGTGAAGATGAAGCGAATATTTTGTTGGATTTTGACTTTACACTTTTTTGAGTCGACCGTAAATCCTTGGCTACCAGTTGATGGTACAAACGTCTAAACCAACAATCTTTACACTGAAGTATATTGCGCAATATATGAAGATCACTGGCAGGAAGCAAAGCGTGTGGACCAAAATGAAAAGTTGGTCCGATTGACCAACTTTCTGTCATCTGTGAACCAAGAAATTAAGAGAATATTAGACTTGTTAGACAAAAAGCACTAATCAGTGCATTATTGCAAATGGCTTTTCAAGATGAAAAAAAAGAAATCTGAAACAGCTCTACACGGATACTTACACCTATATAAGGTGTGAAACAAGTTGACAAAAAATTATAGTTCAGATGTAAACAACAATTGTGTGTGATAACCACTAGCTGATCTATTGCCAATGTCATTGGTAATATTTCCGTAATACATCTATTTCGACAGACGGGTAAGAATCCCCACCCTATATTACATGTCACCTAAGAATTTCAGCTTGGAGCTTTCGTTGTGAATGCACCTGCGTCTTTGTGGAGTTAACAATGAGCCACATCTATTGTGTAAGGACTGCTTGGCTGCATAAACCTCAGAAGTTGACATAGGATTACAACCACTTAGAACTCGAGTCTAGGCCGATGAGTCGCCGACCCAGCTAACTCCAAGAGTTGGTTTGTAAGGATCAGATTTGCTTTACGAGTGTGACCACGAATTGATATCAGTTAGAGAACCATCGGAAACCAGGGAGTACTGGACAGATGTTTCGTCCTAGTTTGGGAACCACCAGAAGTACGCATCCACTGGGTGGCTAAATGGTATACGAGCTTGCTTTCTAACCGGGAGGTTCTGGGTTAGAACCCCAGTAGGTACGTACTGCCGATGATTCCCCAACTAACTTCAGCTGACGTTGGTGGTCGAAATCAGTTGCCATTCTTTTAACTTTTCAACTCCAGACCAAAATATTACAGAACTAGGGTGGAAATTAAATCAAATGTCAATATCCTCTACTGAGTGAGTTATCACATATATAGTAAAGCATAATTAAAACTTCTTAAACCGTGGAAATTAATTACAGTAAGGATTTACTCGAGATACTTAGTTTTAACTATACAAGAAAATGCCAGTAGTCTACAGTGAGATAAAATACTTCAGCTAGTATAACACGCTAACCTCTGACTATAGACGCTTTGAAGAAAGAAGTTAAGAAGTTCACTTAGCAGTTTACGCTGATATTAGTGCTCGCCTTACCATAGCTTTATATGTTCACATGTAAGAACTAATCAACATCTCTGGTGAAACTGTTAAACACAGTAACCTTGCAATGAAACTTCCAAGGGATAAGTGGTTTTCCGACTAAAGGTGTATATAAATACGCTAAACCCATTGAGTTAGACAGTGATGTGAAGGTTGAAATTAAGGAACCTTCTTCTGAGACAACCAAAATAACAGTCTACTTAATTAAAACCCAAATACTGACCTAACAAGTCAGTAAGAAAGAATACTTTAACGGTTAGCAGTCATCACAAGATTTACACAGCTTTCACCAAACCCATGAACTTACCAAAAATCTTCGAGCACCCTTTTATATTTAAATATAAATTTTCTCCGTAATTTGACACGATATAGTGGGAAATAACGCATGGGAAGTTCGGAACTAAAAGCATCTGTGAGGTGGAAATTTTGTTGAAAATGCCGCTTGGCCGTAATTTCCAAATTTACCTACACATGTAGTTTCAATAGTTTCAATATTTGTAGAACTTTTTAAGAAATAAGCTTATATTGACTTCGCAAGAGCAAAACAAAATAACAAGTGTCCCGGGACATGTACAGGCTTCTATAATTCGGCATTAAATGTGATATCGCAACTCATAAACTTCTTTGCGTATGCTTCTGAATTCTGTCAAGTAGATGTTGAAAAAGGCTTCCAGTATCCAATATCATTTTTATGAGCTAGTATAAACCAATTTGATTTCTTTGTGCTCGCCTCTTGATTTTGAGATAAAGGTTCCTGATCTTCGGTAAACTTCTGCGTAGCTCGTCCCGCCACTCGACTGTCGTAGCTTTGGTTGACTCCAAAGTAAGTTGTGTTGGGATTAATTATATGTGGTTTGTAGTACCAGGTGTGTTAAGACTGTTACTACTGTGATCCTTTCACCAGTTAGTCCTTCGGTATCCTCGTCAAAAGAAAAGAGATAATAATAGATTTAATTAGTGAAGTTACTCAGACTAACAGAGAGAAAAAGAAATAAGAAAACGTAGCAATAGTCAGCTGATTAAATTTGAAGAATAATATGAATAATACGTATACCGGTAATAATGATGATAATAATAATATGTGTAGTTAAAGTTGCCAGGAGAGTAAGACGAGAGAGAATAAAAAGAAGTAAAACGACTAATTTAGTTGTCTACCTCTGAATTGTGTATGCGATTTTAAGGGGATAGGCCATTTGGACGCAGTCCTTGTGTCGCTGCATGATTGTCAAGCCTTCGCTTAAAGGGGTCCACAGACAATGCCATAGCTACATCTGCTGGTAAAGAATTCCAGGGACGGCAAACCACCAGTGAAAGAAGTGGGAGCGCACCCAACTCCTTGCACTCTGGTGAGCTATCCTTCTGGGATTTCCACGAGGGAGCCTATACCCACTCAATGGCAGCACACCCTTGTTTGGGTGGTTCTGGTCATTTGTTATTTTGTAGGCAGTAATTAAATCCCCCCTAAGACGACGGTTGCTAAGTGTGAATAGGCCTAATTTCTTCAGCCTTTCATCATATGGTTTGTTTCGGAGACCAACCACTCCTTTTGTTGCCCGTCGTCGGACTCTTTCCAAGAGGTTGGCGTCTCTTCTAAGCAGTGGGGGTGCAATTGCACTATGCACTTCAAGGTGTGGTCTGACGTATGTTTTGTACAACCTTAGAAAGAGCTCAGGAGTGAGTGCACCTAACTGTCTATGTGTAAAGTGTATGACCGCATATGCCCTCGCTACGTCCCCCGTGTAATTTACGCTTGTGTCCACTTTTCCCGTTAGAACTAGACTTAAGTCGCGTTCCGACGTTGCGCAGGACAAGCTTTCATTGCACAGGGTGTAACTTGCATTCTGCAGTCTACAGTTGCGTAACTTCACTACTTTGCACTTTTTCAGGTTGAAAGTCATACCATTGGCCGCCGTCCAGTCTTCCCGAAGGTTTAGATCTTCCTGTAGCCTATCTGAGTGCTTCGGACACCTTACTGCCCCGCATATCTTTACGTCGTTAGCCTATAGAAGAGTCAGGCATCTTAGACGGCATGGTAAATCATTGATAAAAATCAAAAACATCAGTGGTCCTAGGACAGACCCTGCGACACTCATGACAGAAGTGGCTTACCTATACCTGCCTGGCTTAATTTGTGTAGGAGAAGGTCATGGTGAACGGTATCAAATGCCTTCTCAAAGTCTGGGAAGACCACATGGACTGGAACATTCATATCCCAGCATGATGTCCAATCGTCCCAAGCTGATAGTAGGTTAGTAACACAGGATCTGCCTTTCCTGACACCATGTTGGGCTTCATGGAGTATATTACACCTATCGAGGTACACCCTGATGTGATTGTCAATAATACTTTCCAGTACTTTTGATACCACTGAGAGTAGAGCTACTGGTCTATAACTAGTGGCATTTTGCCTATCCCCACCCTTGAAGATCGGAGAAAAGATGGCTATTTTCCACTCCCTTGGTAGTTTCCTCGACTCCATTGAGTGTTGGAACAAGTCACATTAGAGCTTACAGAGAGCTTCTGCGCACTGTTTCAGAACAGATGGCCTGATGTCGTCGCAACCTGGGGACTTCCCAGGTGTGAGTTGCTGTTGCTTCCTCAGTACTACTGTGGGGGTTATTTGGGGTGTATCCACCAGGTATTCCTCCGGTGAGATAGTAGTGCCACCATTTTGGTCCGTAACGGTAACACCCATATTGCTATTTAGCTGTTTGGCGATGGCTAGACTGAATGTTTCAGCCATCTCCAGACCGGTGAGATATTGACCACTTGGGCCTATTAAGGCGCATGCTCTCTGATTGGTTGGTTTCCTTTTGCGACATGAATTGGTACAAGTTTTTGGGGTTTGCTAGGAGTTTTTTAGCAAGGTTAGCCTGGAGTGACCTCCTATCCCTCCTGACTCTTGCCTTGCACTAGTTCCTGAGTTCCAGGTATGCATCGTGGTCGATCTGACTCTTAGATACGCGCCACGTAAACCAAGCCTTCCGCTTTGCTTGCAGAATAAGTTGCGTTCCTCTTTTCAACCATGATGAGTTTCTTTTGAGCTGTGATGTGACTAAAGGGACGGTATCCAAGATTGCTGTATGAATAATCTTTTTTACCACTTCCCAGTGTTCATCCACAGATAGCTCATCCCATGCTAAGGCCCAGTATGTGTCAGACAGGTCCTCCGCATTTCAGCATAGTCAGCTTTACTATAACACAGACATGGACGAGTAGCGTCCCACTGCAAATGCTCACAGAGAACGAGATCGAAACCTATGACTGCATGGTCACTACTTCCTAGAGGAGTCATGATCTGGACCTTTTTGACAAGTAGTTGGTCATTAGTTAGAATGTAGTGTAGTTTTGATGACTTTCCACTAGGGCCCCACCTAGTGTCGTCTCCAACGTTCTCAGTCAGTCCCGTGTTTCGAATAGTTTGCAGTAGATTTCGGCCGAATTTTCCTTTAGCATACCCCGAGCCAAGGTTCAGTGATAGGGTATTGAAATCTCCCGTTATGGTGATTTGGTCATAGCCCAAGTCTCGTATCCCTGTGATAGTGCTGAGCAGCAGCTGGTTGTGCTCTGCCCCACAAGTGGGTGATCGGTAGATGCTACCAAGTGAGTGCTTGGTGTGGCCTACGGTGAAATGACACCATATGGGGTCTGCGAGTTCGACAATTGGTGAGTCCGTTGCGCGCACACATTTAAGATGTCTGTCAAAGTATATAGTAACTCCCCCTCCTTCCTTATTATCCCTGTCTCTCCTGACCAGAACCATATCACCTATACTGATTTCGTTGTCGGCGATAGTGGGGGTTAGCCACGTTTCAGTGAGAATGATCATATTCAGTTGTAGGTATGATTGGAGATTTCGGAGTTCACCTACTTTTCCTCTCAGTCCCCTCACATTGCTATATAGGCAGCTGACAGTGAGTCTCACAACCTCAGCGTG